CCGCTGCATCCGCCGCAATTCTTTCGTCTTCTCTCTCTGCCGAGCTTGCCAATCCTGATTGATTCAGAAGAAGAAGAAGACTTTGAAGACTCAAAGAGAAGAAACAACAACAACAAAAAGGGATGAGGATATAAGGAGACGAACATCGTCATAATACTCCGGTGGCATCCCTTCGAGAAGCACTTCTTCTTCTTTTCCCGACGAGCATCTTCTTCTTAGGAACTTAGCTGCAGCACGAGAAGACGAGTTTGTTTAGAAATCAAGGAGAATCTGGAGGAGCAAGCCCGCGAAACTGACCTACCTGTAGAAATCAAGGAGGAGAATTTCGAGAAGGAAACAGGCCCCCGAGGACTGAACGCAAACGTTAGCGCCACCGACGTCGCCGCAGCCATAGCCGACCTACCTTCGAGTTCTTTGCTACTGTAGTAGTGTGGGATGTAATCTTCACATTTACTCCTTAAATGTTTTGAATTTCACAAATTAAACCCCATATTACCAGTTGGTCAAATTTTCCCAAAATGCTCTGCTTGTTTCCAATGGGTGGGTGGTCCGATAGTACTAGTAGGTTTATTATATCTACCTTTCGTTTGATTGGGAATGATGTTTTTTTACTCTAGATTGATTAATTTGACAAATATACATAGACAAAGAAGCTAATGTGTGGAATAAAAGTGATGGTCTTATTCTAGATATAAGCCGATAAAAGAAAGAAAGCTGAGAATCCCACGTGAAGCTAAAGTTGATGGCAAGTCTCGACGATGAGTTCAGTAGCTGCACCCATAGTCCCAAGGCCCCCAGCGCAGAGTAGAGCGAGAGCCAATTCTTGCTCGTTCCACTGCCTCAGACCTTTGCTTAGCCTCTTAATCACTTCCACATCCACCTCTAGCACCCAAGCCGGCGTGCATTGCACCATCAGGCTCACAAAGCCTGTCACGTAAGCTTGCCATGTCGCCCAATCACAACCCAACGATATCTTCCCTTCCAAAGCACTCACCAGGAACTCCAAATGCAACCACAGAACCCTTGGCCGACGTTTTGAGGCAGGCCATGAGGAGTCCACTCCCCAAGCGAATGCACTGCACAGGATTGCAAAGTAGGCCAAAGCATAGCCTCTCAGCATCGGAACCATGCCTCCCAACTCGCCTTCTTCTGCGTGAACCGAGATGAACCAAGATGGTAGTGTCTCCTTGATCAGAGCCTGAACCAGGTTCAGGCCACCGGAGATCCACACAAGAGAGGCCCCCAGGGAAGCTGCCAGCTTGACACGTGTCATCGCCAAAGAAAGAGAAACCTGCCGAATCCCATACCTCGACCCATCTTTCGTTTTCTTCAGTTTCTCTGCCTGCTCTATTGGTAGCTCCCTGGTGGCAATGCTCTTCACCGAGAACATCAGAAGCGAGAGGATTTCTTCTGTCAGGAACATGACATCTCTGATTGATCGGTGCACTTTTATGTACAAGATTCCTGGGGCAGCTGTGGAGATTCCACCAGAGTACAGAGAGCCAAAGCCATGGCCAAGGAGTGCGCCTACTCCCCCATAACTGCAGAGTTGGGAGGTGGGCGTTAGACCAAGAGTGCAAGTGAAGCAGCTTCTGAGGAG